TAATATAATTAAAATAATTAAATGGAGCTCCAACTGGTATTAAATCTAAAGTTTTTGAGAAATGTTTGCATTGCTTGTTAATTTTTGCTGCATAATTTTTGATCAAATATGTAAAACATGTCCGTAGCACGTTAAACTGTGGTGCCATCGTATTAATATACAATTATTTGCTCAAAAGTTGCCCTTTTTTTCCAATTTGCGTTTGAATATCTACATTTATTCTCATTCTTCTGTTTAATGGAATGCACAAACACAGCAGCGTGCCATCAAAGATGGCGTCTCCGAGGAGGTCATGTGACATTCATTGGTCTGTGGGAACTATGTATGCTCCTATACAGTATGTGTTTGTTAGCATTACCTGTATTCGAACTGTTTTATTCTCTGATCTGCTGTTGGTGAATCGACAACTTTGCGAAGTCCTCCGAGACGTCCATTGTGGGTTTTCGGGCACTTCAAAAACAAATTGGATTTCACTCTGACTCTTGCTCTGCTACTAATGTTTCAGTTCCAGTGGGTCTGATGTTGCAACAATGTTCCCTCATCGAAAACATACCACAGGTTGTTCTCACTCCATCAACAATATCACTTCTGGCCGACGGCATAAACTGACTTTCTGCCTTTGAAAGTGAAAGTATTGTCTTGAAATTAGTTTGGGGAATATCTTCAGTCAAGTTATCTTCAGACTATAATTTCCCACTTCTACCGCGAGATGAGAAAGCTTTGTTCATCCATGATTTCTCCTGAAGAAACTATTTTTTCACCTTCTAAAACACACAACATGAAACCCAGATCCTGTCAGAGCTCTGTAGATAAGCAAGGGAAGGCCTGGATAGTACTGTGATGGGAGACTTTCTGGGAACACCAGGTGCCACAGTGGGGTGACTGCGGCCAAACTGTTGTTGTGTTCTTAGGCAAGACACTTCACCCACATTGCCTAGAATGAGTCTGGTGTGTGCGTGAATGGTTGGTGGTGGTGGGAGGGGCCAATGGCATGCTTTCTTCTGTTAGTGCTACAGTCAGGGACGTGCAGTCAGGGGAGGCAGGGGAGGCAGAGCCTCACCTGCCATTATTGGAAACTAATAATTATTTTAGTTTAAATATATAATTTATATCCACTGTCCTATGCTTTTAATGTATATTCGGCACGGTTCCCATCAGTTTTGATCATTTCTGAAGTCAAAATCGCCGAAATCCCGTTATTCCTATTCAAAGAGACGAGGTGAGGCAGCGCTCCTGCGTGCCTCACCCCAGACCGCTCCCTCACAGTGTGTGTGTGTGTGTCTGAGTGCACTCAGCTCGTGCAGTTGATATATCACCGTTTGTTTCAAATATCCTGCTTTAAAAACATTTTTTAAACTCCTCTTAGTGTTTAGTAGTGTATTGCACGTATGTGTGTACAATTTATATTTAGTTTAAGTCTTTTGATCGTAGATGAACACACAAGGAAAAAGCTTGGCGTGAGGCAGGCGGTATCTGTGCCTCACCGCTAGGGGTGATAGTGAGCATAAAGTTCATACCAGAGTTGCTAACAAACAATCAGCCCAAAATGCTATTTCTTTTGCTGGAAAATGGATGATTTGAATGAAGATTTTTTTTCTCAATTGGACTTTCAAACAAAGAAAGAATTAATATAGACTGGGAGACCACCACTGGACTTACGAGGTTAGTCCGGCTGCGGGGGAGGAGTTTGTTAATCTGTGTTTTATGTTGAACATTGACAGATACCGGCAAAGTAGTGCTTTTCCGAAAAACACTGATTCAAACACTGCTCAAGAGTTCTGCAACTTGTTTAAATTATTGTTTATGTTCCTCGCGTCTCTCTCTCCTCGCGTCTCTCTCTCCTCGCGTCTCCGTCTCTCTGCTCCTCTCCGTCTCTCTCTGCTCCTCGCGTCTCCGTCTCTCTGCTCCTCGCGTCTCCGTCTCTCTGCTCCTCTCTGTCTCTCTCTGCTCCTCTCTCCTCGCGTCTCTCTCTCCTCGCGTCTCTCGCACCTGCGCTTCTTAAAGATGTTGTTTGATGCGGAGCAGAGTCAGCAGCTAGATTTGTTGTGAGATTATTAAAAGAAGCTGGTTCTCTTATCTTTACAGTATATAAAGTTTGTGGATGTCATTGCATTGGTGATTAAATGCTATTTTATTTGAATAATGATTGTAAATCTGACTTTTAAAGTCAGTGCCTCCCCAATCACAAACCTCACCGCACGTCCCTGGCTACAGTAGATTATCACCACCGTCTATGGAGTGAATGAATAATGACATGTGAAACGTCTGAGTGTCCAAAAAATTGCAATATAAACCGACGCATTATGAAATTAAAAATTATTAAAAAATCAACACAAATAGAAAATCTAGACCTGAAAAAACTTTTACTAAAAACCACTGCAGAAAATAAATGGCCTATTGTCAAAATAACTGGCACTGTTATAAAGTAGGTTATTTTTTTATGCTCATAATTCCCTTCCCTTGAGTCAGTGGGAACATATGGCTTTATCCAACGAGAGCATATTACGCGTATTTGCTGAACTGAAGCCCAAAATTCCCCAAAACTCCATTGTTACTAATCATGTTGAATAGTTTCCTTTTGAGATAATATTGTTAAATGTTGCATAGCTTGATAACTGTTAAGTTTGTCCCTTTAAAACAGCCACCACTGCTGCTCACTTCTGTTTGTATCACGCTGGATTTATTCTCTTTAGTTTTCTCACAGGTGGAACAAGCAAATCATTTTCCAGCTCTTCAGATAACCACTTTATACCACTGTACTGCATTATTCTGCTTTAATCCACAGCAAGGCAACTGAAAGTGCTGAACAAAACAAGATAGAACCAATACAGGTACAAATAAAAATACAAATTATTATAATACATTAAAGAGGTGAAGATAAAACCCTCAGTTGTATGCACAGCTAAACAGTTGTAACCTGGATAGAATCATTGTCAGAGAATGAGTCTGTCCCACATTTTCAGGAAGACTGTTCCAGATTTTAGCTGCATAAATCTGAAATGCATGCCCATGTTTAGTTCCAACTCTGGGCACCAGCAGGAGCCAGTATTTTGTACTTGCTTCTTCATTATGCTGAAGTTAGAGATTTATTTTTTGTTCTAGTATAGTTGTTGTTTACTCATCTTGTGTTGTGTGCTCCTCCTAACTGGTGATGCAACACTGAAATTTCCCCGACTGTGAGGCAAATAAAGGATCTAATATTTTTAATCTTAAACAGTGGAAATCAGTTTTTAACATCTATAACACATATCCTACCTCGCTCCCATCCCTGTGTGGAGTGAGAGAAAAATGCCCAAAATAACGATTGTAAAGTGCTTTGTGACTGGTCTGAGAAAGGCAGTATATATATAAAGATTACTTACAGTTATTGCTTAAGATTATAATAGTTATACTACAAGTACAAGGGCAGTACATGCATGTTATTATTATTCTGATCTATGCATTAAGAGATTTTGTGTGGGAGAAGATGTTGAATATATCTACCCCACCCTGCTGCGACGGAGACTCCCCCACAATGAGGCCCTGGGTGGTCTGTGTGGTCTGGTAAAGGCAGCGAGGTGTGGCGAAGGGACCAGCTCCAAACAGGGAGGAGTCTGCTGGCCTCATCTGCCCACGCCACTCTGATTAATTATATCATCATTAGAACATATTGAAGAGCTGTAAAAACTCACGAAAAAACAACGTGAGAAAGTTAAAGGTTGAATCTGCAGTTTGAAGACGGTTCAACTGGGATGGAGCGTCTTTCTACTGCAGGGGCTTCCAAACTATTTTTATTTCATTTTATTCATTTTATTCATTTTATTCATTTTATTCATTTATTCATTTTATTCATTATATAAACTTTATTTTATTTATTTTATTTATTTTATTTATTTTATTTATTTTATTTATTTTATTTATTTTATTTATTTTATTTATTTTATTTGTTTTATTTATTTTATCAATTTTATTTATTTTATTTATTCTATCTATTTAATCTATTTTTACTTTTATAACTCGTTTGCACTGAGAGCCAAAGCCATTTCCTGGTTCCCCATTATAAGGAGCTCCCCAAAGGATTTAGAAATAACTGAAAGTGTATGATTCATATGCACATACAAGACTGTTCCAGTTTTTAGCTGCGTGAATCTGAAATGCAACTTCCCCATGTTTCGTCCTGACTCGGGGCACCAGCAAGAGGCCATTCCCTGTGCTCCCCAGAGTCCAAGCAAGAGGCCAGTCCCTGCTCTCCCCACAGTAATTAACTAATTCATGACGTCATAATTTGAGAATGCTTCAGACTGAAAAAGAAACGTTTGGACAGATGGGGTAGGGGTGACAAGTTTGTGCCAGGAGTCCCTCATATAAGTGTGATGGAGCCAAGAACCATGTTGTTTGGGTTAACATAAAAGCTCAAAATGTGTGTCCTTTAAAAAGTACCAAGACAAATTCAACATTTATAATTCATGAAAGAGATGAAGAATCTTTTCAACTATATATGCCAACCAAAAATAGCCAAAGGGCCAATTCCCTTGTACTTTTGGGCTCAGACATATTTTGTTTTGAATGACACCAAAATAAAACCATCTTTTACAACAAAAAATTAATCTCCGAAAGACAGCCAAGAAATGACACATCTCTGTCAACATATGTAAACTTGTAAATCCCCCTTCCCTTTTCCTGTAATGAAACCAAATACTTCTCCCACCACCACTCCACCGCTATTCCAAGCCCTATTTGATAACTCCTGCAGTCCAAAGAGCAAGGCTGGTGAGCAGGGAGGACCTTCCCAAACACGTACAGGGGAAGGGGGGAGGGAGGCGGGGCCAGTGCCAAAGCATGCTTTTGGATTTCTCATCAATTCACTTCAGTCCTTTTCAGCTTTTTTTGTTTTTTTCTTCTTCTTTGGGAATCCCGCCCCCTGTCCATTATCCCCTATATCTATTCACCAGTATGTTGTTTTTCAGTAGTTTCTCCAGCTCCCACCACATCACTGCACATAGACCTAACTCTGTCTAACCATGAGAGAATTCAAGAGCAAGGATTTCTGGAGGGCGGTTTTGGCCGAGTTGGTTGGCATGACACTTTTCATATTCCTCAGCTTGTCCACGGCTATAGGTAACGTGCACAACACAAATCCGGACCAGGAGGTGAAGGTGGCCCTGGGCTTCGGTCTGGCCATAGCCACGCTGGCCCAGAGCTTGGGACACATCAGCGGGGCCCACCTGAACCCGGCCGTCACCCTGGGGATGCTCGCCAGTTGCCAAATAAGCGTCTTCAAAGCGGTCATGTATATTGTGGCGCAGATGCTGGGGTCTGCGTTAGCCAGCGGGATTGTGTACGGGACGAGGCCGGGTAACACAAGTGTCCTGGGAGTCAATTCTGTAAGTACACAGCTGTTATTGTAATTTTTTTCTCTAATAATGTGTTTGAAAGAGACATTTCATACTGGTCTGTAATATATTTACAAGCTGTGACAAATAACAGGGATTATTTGTGTGTATTTTGATCATTTAAAAACCATGTAATGATCTAAATTGACTTTAATTTTTTCTTACTCTATTTGGAAAGTTGAATTGATCACATAAAACGTCATTGATACAAAGCAGCAGGTCACATGAGCAGATTTGTTATTAATTTGTGACCAATGATTTGCATAGATTTGCACAAGCTGCAGTAAAAGCAGAGAACATAAATCTGAAATTGCTGTCAATTTCACTGATTTGAATATTTTTGACTTGCTAAATAACAATGGAAAACTGTTTTAACATGGTAAAGTTTGTTTTAATGTACACAATACGTCCCCTTTAAGTTGAATGATTGAATATAGCTTGTATTGTAATTTAAAATCCAATCAAACTTATTGCCTGCGTTTCCAACTTTTCAAAACATATATATATATTTTTTTTATCTTATCTAATATCATATGGTCTCTGCCAATGTGCTGAAATAGGTTATAAAGATCAGTGATGAAGTTTTGAAGTATTTGCAACCAAATCTAGGTTGTTTTTTTTAAGCTCAAACAACATCAACAAAACGCACAAAGCATTCCTTTGTAATACATGGAAGCTTTATTATTAAAAAGTCACATATAGGATTGCCCAGAAAACCGGAAATCCCAACAGAAAAGACCCCTCGAATAAAAATGTGTGACCAGGACCAGGTTGGTGATTTCCAAGTGCATGGTGCAGACTTGTCACTTGTTGTTTTGGTCTTCTCAGCTCAGCGGTGTGACCCCCAGCCAAGGTGTGGGCATCGAGCTGCTGGCAACATTCCAGTTAGTCCTCTGTGTCATTGCGGTGACTGATAAAAGGAGGCGTGATGTCACCGGTTCAGCGCCCTTAGCCATTGGCCTCTCTGTGTGCTTGGGGCATCTAGCAGCGGTGAGTGGCCTCCGGGGGCATGTTTGCTCACTTTCACTGCGACGTATGTGTTCGGGAAGAGGTGAAAGTAAGCTGTGTGTGTTTTTGTTTTGTTTTTGTTTTTTAGATTAGCTACACGGGCTGTGGGATCAACCCGGCTCGCTCCTTTGGGCCCGCTCTGATCCTCAGCGATTTCACAAATCACTGGGTAAGAGTGACTTCAGCAACACTTCTTTCACTGGTCCTCACTTGATCAAAGCAGATGCAGCTGAGGTTAATTTTTACCGACAAAAACTGAGCTACAATATGTCTAAAAGTAACCAAACCTGGATTAAATTTGGCAATCATTAAAGGTACACTACAGGTCGAAGCTGCCAAAAGACAACACCAATAGTCAAGTTCATAGTGTTGTAAAAGTTTGCCACAAAAATCTGCACTGGAATAGAAAAACTCCCTCAAAGTCTCTCATAGAAATGTTATGTGAAATCGTAAAAGTTCTAAAAGCCTACAATAATGCCCCTTATGTGTTTGATTTGACTATGACAATAGTGAAACCAATGGAGAATTGAAATTAAAGAGTTGAAATAATGTTATCCAATCGTATCACAGGGAGGGCAAGCATGGGCGGGTCTTCCAAAATTCTCTTCGTCAGCAATTTGACTTCACATTAACAGACTAACACACGACATGTAACATATTTGATCCTGAATCAAATCATTACAGGTTGAAGCATCAAAACATTTCAGTTCAGTTTTTGTTGAGTTGAGATTTGAATTTTGACCATTTCCCATTTCAATCTTTGAACCAATCAATCTTCAGCATCAGACACAAAAACTGAGATTGTTTGATGACTTTTAATCTAATATACAAACAAACAAGAATGCTCCGATACCAGGGGTCATGGGGGAATAGTTATCTTTCCAGGTGTTAAACTGTGGGTGCAAAGTGAAACATTTGAATTACAGTGGTTTGCTGTTCTAATAAATGATTATTGATAATAAATTAACTGTAACAATATGTGTCTTTTTGACTTTCTACATAATATGATTCAATATGTTTTTTATTTATTCAATTTAATGCTGTACAAAATAAATACCATTGGCCTTTTACCTAAAGCTCCGCCCCAATACAGCAAAAATACAACTTTATCTGTGAATTTATAAGATTGAATGTTGAGAAATCTTCAGTGTCATGATTCTGTTTGCAATGTGTGAGATATAAATTTGTAAATAAATCAAAATAGATTCAAGCAATTGAATTATTTTATTCAAGTCAATATTTATCTAAAAATCTATGTTTTTGTTGTTGTTTTTTTTTTAAAGCATTGTTAGCACAGGCCAAGTCAGGTGATGTACTGACGGTCGGCACTAGATCATATACGGAATCGGGACGAAACCGGAAGTAACAATCCTACTTTCGAATTCGTTTTAGACTGTTAAGTCCTTAAGTGCTGACTGGTTAAGTTTTAGGCGTCTGATTAAGATGGTTAAGGTTAGGGTTAAGGCTGGGTTGGGGTTATTTTATGGGAATGGCTGGTTAAGTTTAGGCATGAATAGGTAGTTTGTTGTATTTACTTCTGCTTCCGTCCCGATTCCGTATATGATCTAGTGCTGACCATGTACTGACCCCATCTCAAACCAATTCAAACATAAACAAATGTAAATAATTATTATAAATCTGCCTCTGGTTCTTTGTGATATTATTCAACCATTTTTAAAATTTGACATGGTCCAAACATTAAAAAAATGTACCAACATCAAACCTAATTTTGACCTTAATTTTCCCAATTGTCTGAAATCGTTTTTTTAATCGTCAAAAATGTCTGAAATAAATTGCTAAACTGAACCGAACCTAAACCTCCTCCTCCTCCTCTTCCTCTGGGTTCCAGGTTTACTGGGTGGGCCCCATGTGCGGAGGTGTGGCGGCCGCTCTCGTCTACGACTTTCTCCTTTTCCCCAAATTTGACGATTTCCCTGAGAGAATGCGGGTCCTGGTGAGCGGGCCGGTGGGAGACTACGACGTGAACGGAGGCAACGACCCCACCACTGTGGAAATGAGCTCCAAATAA